TGCAGCAGCAGCAGAGATGGCAGCCAGACAGCACTTTCAAAGACGACCCGCAGGAGGTCAGGGGCTGCTATGGGTTAGCTGCGGGCAGTGGGGCCTAGTGGTTAGCATAGTGGACTGGGCCCCTGGCCTTTTGGGTGACCCAGCCGCATTGGAACAATGTGCTAGAGGGGGGCGGAGAGCCACTGAACACACTTGTAAACCCTGCGTAGGACAGAAACTGCTTGAAGTCAAGGGCTGCTGCCACACCCTCAACATCCCATGTTCCAGCACCACTGGGGAGACCGTCCTCTCGCTGTGCCTCAGTTTCCCCTTCTGTAAAGTGGGGATCCTGACCTGCTTTGTAAATCCCTTGGAGATCTTCCATTGGAAAGCTTCTCTGGAGGCAGCTTGCCAGAGTCAGACACCCCTCTGCTGCAACATGCTTCCACCTGGAACAGGTCCCATGCCGTGGGGTGGGATGAGGTTCCTGGTTAGGCCAAGGGCCAAGTTAAGACCTGGGCCAAGTGGGAACGGATCCCATGGGAGTCTGTGTGTCAAATGCAGCGGTGACTTCCGGGGTGAAGTAAGCAGCACGCCTGTCGCATACGGGAATGTGACGTGCCCAGCGCTGGCGTGCGTGGGGTGTAGGAAACAAGTGTGATTGACACACTGGGCTGTGGAGCAACAGCCAGGTGGGTGTGATAAGATGGATGGGTGAAGGGGCTTCTTAATCTTCCGCCTGCCTGCTTGCCCTGCTACACCCTTCTGCCCGGGGCGTGTAGGTTACTCATGGTGTGCAGCAGGCCCGATCCCAGCAAGCTGCATTGTGCAAGCACTTCACACCCATCGCCCTAGCAACCTCCCTTGTGCATCCCCTCCCCCATGTGCATCTCTGTTGACGCTGCCCTGCCTGTCGTCAGCCGCATGTGACTCGCGGTGGCGCAGGATTTGCCCAGGAAATGTTCCACCCCCGGTGGCTGACACACCAGGAAGGGACGTGCCCTCCTCTCAGGGAAAAGCACCAGCCACCCCGGCTTGTCTGCCTCGGAAAAAGTCCCGCCTGGGAAGTGGCTTCCGGGCAGCGGGTCTCCTGCGGGGGCG